CTCGTCCTCCTTGTGCCTGCGGTTGGGCAGGGAGCAGCGGCGCTACTCGCTGTGGGACTGCCTCTGGATCCTGGCCGCCCTGGCCGTCTACTTCGCGGACGTGGGCACCGACATCTGGCTGGCGGTGGACTATTACCTGCGGGGCCAGCGCTGGTGGTTCGGGCTCACCCTCTTCTTCGTCCTCCTGGGTTCCCTCTCCGTCCAGGTCTTCAGCTTCCGTTGGTTCGCCCACGACTTCGGCACCGAGGACAGCGCCGCCGCCGCCGCCGCCGCCGGGCCCTGCCCCGCCGCCGAGAGCAAGCTGCTGGTGAGCAGCGGCTCCGCCGACATCGACGCCGCTCGCCCCGGCACGCCGCAGCGGCAGGCGTCCACCGCCAGCAAGAGCAACGCCACCAACAGCAGCAGCAACAGCAGCAGTAACGCCGCCGCCGGTCCCGGTGCCCCCGCCGCCACCGCCACAGCCGCCGGTGCCCCCTCCTCCGGTCCCCGCTCCGCCGGCGGCCGGTCGGCGTCCTGCGCCTTCTGTATCTGGCTCCTGCAGTCGCTCGTCCACATCCTGCAGCTGGGGCAGGTCTGGAGGTGAGGAGCCGGGCGGGGGCGGTGTGTGTGGGGGGTGTGTGTGTATATGTCCCCCTCGACACCTCGGGTGTGGGATGGGGGGACCGCGCCTGCAACCAACCACCCCCCCCTCCCCGCCCACCATCACCACCATCACCCCTCCTTCGGGTTTCCTTCTCGGGATGGCGAGCCCCGGCCCGTCGCAGCGGGAGGAGGGCTCCCGGGTCCCCGCGGGGCCGCCAGCGGTGTCCCGCCCCGTCGAGGGGAGCCCCCGGAGGTTCCCGGTGCCGCCCGGGCGGACACCACCCCGGGAGGCGCCCGGCCGAGGCGAAGGTGCCTTAAACTTCCAGGGAAATCTCTGCCAGGGGCTACGTTAAAAAACGGGAACGGCCGGGGGAATATCCCGGTAACGTGCGTCTCCCGGTCTCCTCGCATGTGGCCAGGACGGCGTTGCCACCAGCAGGGAACTTCGCTGGCAGCCAAGAGTTTCTTTGCAAAAACTCGTGATGAACGCCCCGTTGGTGTGTTTTGATATTTATATGTAAATAGGCGGCGTGCGGTCCGCTCCTCGCTGTACCTATGCGTTCCCTATAGATGTAGTTAGTAAAGGAATGTCTTTCCAATCAAACTTTGGAGTAGCTGCTCTCCAAATCATCCACAAGGGACGTTACGTGCGTTACGGAAAGGGTGTGCTGAAAGTGGGTTGGGGAAGGCACTTACTGAAAAGGGAGATGACATCATAGTTTGCAAAAGTAGTGCTTTCCTGTATTTGAAGCACATTTCTGGGAAAAATTTACATGGAGGCCAAATGCCCTGCAAATACATTTAGTGCTGCTCGAAAAGTGCCGAGTTGAGAACACATACTGTATAAGGAGTTAAAATTTCCACATAGGAAAATAGGTGCTGTGTTGAAGAAGGTCATCAAGTGGGGCAGAGTGCTAAAGAAACCGCTGAAAATACTTTTGGGATTTCTTGTCTGATGGCTGGAAAGGAATTCTCACGTGTTTATGTTCTGGAAACACTAGTTTTTCACAGCTGTTTCATTAGAGACTTAAATTTGTTGTTACTCTAAACTTCCAACTCTGGTGGTTTTAGTCTCTGTCCCACCCTTTTGGCCAGGAACTGTCTTCTGCTCTGTAGGAGTGCAGTGTCCAGTACAGCTCAGTTCTGCTTGTGGCCTTTAAGCACCAAGGAATCCAAGTGCTGCTAGATGATAGAGCAAAGATTTTGGGATGCTGTAACTAAGTATCTTTCACTTTCCATATTCTTTGGTTTATTGTAACAAATAGAATTTTCTAAACTTGTGAAACTAACTCCAAGTGACAGGTGCGCTCGATATTAACTCTGACACAGCTTGAGAGGGAAGCAGAATTTTGAACAAAAAGCCATGCTTTGCTCTGGATCTCGTATGCTGGTCTGTTCCTGTATGCTCTACCTCCGCGGCTGAACACGAGCTAAATTTAGGATTTTCTGAATGAGATGGTTTGATGTAATACTCAGCCCCGATCCTGCAGAGACAGAAGAGTAGGTACAATGGCTCAAATTGTACATAGAATTTCATGTTGCTCCTCATCCATTTAGAAGGCAAAGAGTGTGTATCATACTGAGTGGTGCAGAAAATGAGTTTTACAAAGTCTGGTGTCGTGACTCTGTATTGGAAGAAACAAAGAGCAGGTCTTTGGGTGGAGCAAGGTGTGATCTGATATTGAGCAGCACTTCTGCCAGATGAGGTGGCTGGGATTTAGAGCTCCTCAGCTGCTTGCTCTTTGATGAAGCACAATCTCTTTTAACATAAGATCTGCTCCTTGCAAGAGCAGCTAGTCCTCTATATTTAAAGCTAGCTGAGCCTCTTTTGATCATATGTAGCTTTTCTTCATGTTTTATGTGCAGTAGCATAAGACTATCAGAATATTTAAATTGACAAGGAATGTTAGGACATTATTTATGTTTTAGCCTGTTACACTTTTTTTTTTTTTTTAGTGAAACAGCCATAGAATTGTTTGTCTCTCTGTAACTTAGTAGTGTTTATTTGCAGTTTTCAGCAAACATGCAAATGATGTGGCCAGAGAATTGTTTGTGTTTCTGTAACTTAGTAGTGTTTATCTGCAGTTTTCAGCAAACATGCAAATGATGTGGCCAGTTGTATGCAGTCTGGCCTATCAGCACTTCATAATTGATTAAAGTGACTTCATTTTAATTCCCTAGCTATATTCCTCATAAGTGAGAGCCTCTAAAAACTTTGCAGTCTAATACTTCTGCTCCACGGTGTAACATCTGCACTGGCCTGAGCAAACAGCTCCTGAGCGTTTAGGCTGAAGGATGACCTGAAGTGTTTTCCAGAAGTGTTTGTGTTTGGAGAACTCCTTCTTTGACACAGCCGAACAGACCGTGCTGGCTGTGTTACCACCATGAGTGCACACTTGCTGGGGACACTGTCCACACAGTTGACAAAACCCGTGTTGCCCTTTATTCTCTGTCTGTCTCTCTCTGTTTTCTCTCAGCTTTCAAGTTTTCCTTCTATTCTTCTTTTGGTGCTGGTTAAAGATATCCTATACCTGTATTGACATTTTTTCTGTTATTTATTGTATTGAATCCCGCACAAGCAAAAATTACACTAGTATTTCTTTTGCTCCTCTGTCAACAAGGAGCCCTAGGTACGAGAACTGAGGTTTTGGTGTTTTGGTAGTTTTGCATATGGGCAAAGTTACCAGGGTAGGTGAAGAGAGGTTTGCTTGTGCCTTGGTCTCGGTACACTGAGATTGGTGCTCATTCTGCTTTCATTTGGTGTTTGCTGTCCTCTTCAGATGTTGAATTGATTCTTGAGGTCTCCCGTTTCCCTTTATTCCTTACACTGGCAAATATTTTGGGGGGAATTGTGTCAATTACTTATTTAAGGAGGCCATCCTGAGGAACTGGGGGTACAACTGGCAATCCCAGCATTCTTGGATTATTAAAAAAGAAAAGTTAAAAAATGTGGTTTTAGTTATTAGTTTTGTTAGGATGATTTTTAACAATTCCAAAGCTTTTCCTTGTCTTACTTTCGAGATTAATTTTTGTTTACAAATATATTGAAAGCCAGATCATTGAAAATGATTATGTGTTAATTTTAACTAAAATGTGCTAATGGGAAATGAATGAGGTTTTTAATGTGGCATGGAACAATGCTGGAAATAGGCAATCTAAAATTACTAACATGATTTTTTCCTAGAGTGTAAAGAAGAGGAGCTGCAGGAGCAGCTAAGCTGCCAATCAGTTCTGAATAAAAATGTGTCTCTCTTTTTTTTTTTTTTTGAAATTGGTATAACCTTCTCCCCCAGCTCCCACAAATTTTAGAAGATGGAATTCTCCTGTTTTGAAGAGTAAGCATATATGAATATATTTTTTCAGGGGAGTTGGATGTTCACACACTCCCTGATAACACTGTCCCTCAGTTAAAATTCCAGTGAAGTCTCTGAGGAGTTGCTTGCCACAGCTGAGTGCAGATGCTAGGCCTTTGTTGGCAGCTAATTTCGTATTAAAATATGATCACTGATGAGAGTCTGCCTTCAGAGATAGATACAGATAAGTTTCCTCTTCCATACTACCAGTGTGTTCTGTTTTTTACCATTATAGGGTACACTATGGAGCCCCGTTCTCCCAAGTAGGTGCTGTGAGAGACGTGGCTTTTTATGAGCAGGCTCTGGGCAGTGCAAGGAGGATGTAATGCACAGGGTCTTTGTATTCCATTGAAAGGAAAAAAGGAGAAGTGGATGCTTTAATTTGCAGTCTGTAAGGACTATGTAGAGGTATACGGGCCAGGAGGATTCAGATAAACTATTGCCTTTTGAGCCTGGCATGAAAATATGTAACCACTGCCCTTGAGCATCCCTTTGATTCACTGAGCTTCCCAGGCTTAGCCCTGGCTTTCAGATTTCTCAGTGGATAACAGGACCTGGTGACTGGATGTAGGAGATAACGGTGTTCCCTTGGCACCTGTGGAGCTGGTTCATTCATCAAGCTGGAGGGGAACAGATTTAGACTGGAGATTAGGAGAGGGTTCTCCACTGTGAGGGTGGTGGAGCACTGGAACAGGGAGGTGGTTGAGGCCCCTTCCCTGGAGATATTCAAGGAGAGGCTCGACGAGGCCCTGGGCAACCTGGTCTAGTTGGGGGTGTCCCTGCTGACTGCGGGGAGGTCGGACTAGATGACCTTTGGAGGTCCCTTCCGGCCTGGGCAATTCTATGATTCTATGATTCCCTTGAAAACTTTTTCTCTGGACCAGATTCCTTTGGGCTGGCAGGACCGGAGAGCCATGCTCCTGAAGATGGATAAAGGGGTCCTGAGAGCCAGCCCTGGGGGGAACGTGGGCTGTGGGAAACCGGGTGGATGAGAGGAGGAGACCGGAGTGCCCATTTTTGTGGCATCTGGAGAAGTGAGAAGTAACTCCCCAGGACAGCTGTTGTGCCTCACAGGGGAATGGTGTGAGCAGGCTGCCTTGGTGCTCGGAGTGCTTGGAGGTTCCCACAGTGGCTGTCATTTTGTCTGAAAGGCTGCAGCCAACGTGCCTGAAGGGGAACTGTCAAGTTTCTCTAGTCAACAAGGCCAGAGGAAGGATGAATCATTGGAAAGCAGAGGACTGGAAATTACCCTTTAAAATTATTTCTGGGTAGCTGAAATGATAGTGAGATCATTAAGTATATCCCTCTCAACAGAGCGAGGGGTTTTGACTGTTTGCAAGCTGTGTGGGAACCCAGCTAGAGAAGGAGCAAGAGACACCAGGTTCATTGCTGTCCTGTCCGTGTGGCACTTGGCCAGGGCAAGTGGGTTCAGAACAGACCCAATCTGTTCCAAAGTGGGTCTGGTTCCCTGAGAAGTGATGCTGTGATTTAGCTATATCTGTTTCTGTGTAATACTGAGAAATCATTGTCTTCTTTCTCCTTCCTGGTTCTTATTTCAAAAAAGCCCGAACGGTTGGAGGAGGGTTGTAGAGGTGATGCTGGATTCTGGAAGCAGGGTGAGTTGCACTTCTCTGTGGTGCCCCA